GTATGCCATTCATTAGGTCATAAATGCAAGTGCATTTAACTCACAAAGCGAAGCGTTTAAAAAACAGATTAATGCAATCAGAGAGTAGTTTGTGGATGCATTTATCTACCCCTTCATTTTTTTTTTTCGAGTATCAATCTTGTGGAGATCGTGCTATCAATCCCTCGCGGATACCTATCCATGTTCAAGGACGGTTCTGGCGGATACAAATAGGCAAATACTCCTCAGTTGATTGAACATGCACTCCCAGAGAAATACATACCTCAAATTGGCTACCAGAGGCAGATCCCCATACGAAGCCTTAACATCGCTTACAAACGCACTGTCTTTAGCAATTGAGCGTGTGCGGTTAAAAAGCGACAACCTCTCACTCCGCAGATTCTGTAGGTCTTTAAAGTACGCTTGCTCCGACGCCATCTTCTTAATTTACACAATATGCGCTTTGTAAGCCTCACTAATACTTATATTTTTAATAAACTGCTATAAGATTTGACCGCAGGCTTTATGAACCTTGTGCGTGTACGTTTGCTCGTTCAAGTCCTAAGGTTCTAAGTGGGCGTTTGCGAAGTATGCAACTGTGCATGCATGTAGGTACTCCGCTCTACTATATAAGTCTCTATAATTGTCTTTACTGGTATCCAATAATTAAATCCTGTTATGCGTTCTGCTCATAAAGGTGTTCTCGATGTATTTATCTATTTAAACATTCAAGTTGCATGTATGTGTATATATTCATGTGTATATACCCTACGCTATGTATATACCCTACGCTATTAGTGATATTCTGGGACAACGTCGTTTTCATTGGCCGATTCGATTGCCCGCGATTTTCAATGCACGTGAATGCAATGCGGATATCATGAAATAGCCACCTATTCTGAGAACAAGAAAAGGGACATTCTGTACTTTAGCCTTCTAAATAAACATTAGAAGGCTATGTATTTACAAATAACTAGCTAAATAGATAGTCCAGGATTCGATACTTCCTGTTAAAATATATAAACACAAGTATATACCCAGTATTAGCACGCTAGCAGCAGAGCTATCCGTTAATCATGTTGTTAGCTCCAACTACAATGGGACGCTTGGGGATGCGATCGCTCCTGCAATCACAATGGTCACACATGAGGTGTAGTATACACACCAGCAGATACCTGAACTCGGCTGAAAGTAGGTCAATCGCACAACTTCCAACTATATGTTCCCATATTACAAACAAACAACAAATAAGTAGGCAAGACAACAGACAGATTTCGAATAGCCAAAGGGGGTTGCATGCAAGAAGTTATTCAACAGCTACTGAAAGTACCGAAAAGCCGATACCCAAGGTGTGTGCCTGTACGCAGATGAGATACGCCCACACGTACAGTAATATGCGATCCCACGCGTATAGACAAAGAGATGTGCTCTATTTCATCTCACGTGCAAGCATGAATTTGCTTTCAGTGATTATAATATGGTGTGTGATGTGTATGTCTATTCCTTTTTCATTGCCAGCAGAATTCGGGCCCAGAAATGATAAACTACTTGTTGTAACATTTCTTCTCGGGGTCTGAAAGGAAACGGTATCGAGTGTGGAGCTTAGTGCACCACTGAACACTATAAGCACACCAGATACTATGTGATTTAGTGTTTTAACCACCAAATAATCCTATTGAGCGGTTTTAACTTGCCTCAACCCCTGGTGTAACGCGTGCTCTTAGTGCGAGAAGATAGCTTCATTCCCAATACAAGCGTAGCTATTTCTATCTATGCAGCAGTGGGTAGTGGCGTGTATAGGAGCGCATGCACACGAGCCCTGTCTCTCTTTGTACTCAGACGTCCGATAGACCTGCTGTGTATTCTGCATAGATCACACGCGTGGTAATATGTGCATCGCCAGGGACACAGAAACGTGTGATGTATGTATAGACCATCCTATCCATGGGTGAGTTAGGACGAGGGGGGGGGGGGGGGCTTGTACATGCGAGGTCAATCCAGGTACTTTCATTAGGGGTGCAATAGAGCATGAACTAATCAGGTGTATAAGCCGCATGTGCGTGAGACGAGAGTCTGCGTACAGAGACGCATGCCGCTAAGCTAATATTTGGACCATGAAATATATATATATCCGTGTATCTGTGTGGGTAGTCGGTTGAGGTGTTGACTTACTCGTGTGAAAAGGGGAGCTTGTTCGTTGCTTACATCTCGAGAGAGCAGGGTACTCTGGGTGTATTTCCACACCCGTTCTGACAAGTGTATGCCTGAAGTAGCTAGCGTATATGTGGGGGACGAGACACATAGAGTCGTCCCGTGTGGTCAGCGGAGCATCTGTAGGTGTGTACCTCCGCATCCTCGAGAGAGAGATATGCGCATGTGTATGTTTTACGACTACCCGTATGGCTAGTATAGCTTGTACGCTGTAAAACACCTCACTGGAAAACAATATTTTTTAATGCAAGCCCACTCTCACCGCGAGAATTGGTTTCTTGACTCACCCCACCAGCCCTATACGCACACACTTACCACTACAGCCGCACACAACAGTGTGTGTCATGTTGACCGGGGTGCCCGCCAGTGCCACAGTAGACGACATCAGACAAAAGTTCCCCACCACTGGGTACACACCCGGTACTGTCAGTGCAGGTAAGAACGTTGATAGGTTCATCAAGCACGATGGGGTATATTGAGTATGCTTGCACTTAACACAAGAAGGTATAAAGCGTTCTGTTTACTGTCAGTGCAAGTATGAACGTTGATAGGTTGATCAAGCACGATGGAGTATATTGAGTATGCTTGCACTTAACACAAGGAGGTATAGAGCATTTTGTTTAATTTATTTTATTTTTTTAGTGTGTGCATGTGACGTAATTGCCTTCTCTGTTCTCAGACGCAAGCAATTTGTACTCATAATCAATTGTAATTTGATGTGACGTGTGGGTACTCACGTCATGCCAATACACGAATATGTATGATAGTAGAAGGAGTTGCCTTCTTTCCCATGCACGAATATGTATGATAATAGAGGGAACTGCCTTCTATTCACGAATATTTATGATAGTAGACGGAGTTGTCTTCTATACACGAATATGTATGCTAGTAGAGGGAGCTGCTTTCTTTCATATACATGAATACGTATGATAGTAGACGGATTTCCCTTCTTTCACATGCACGAATATGTATTGTGGTAGACGGATCTGCCTTCTATCCACGAATATGTATAATAGTAGAGGGAGTTACCTTCTATCTCATAGCAGGGGAAGGTAAATTGACATGTGCAAGGCTGTGTCGACCGTCGGCATCAGATGCGAACTGTCCCTATCCCAGATGCTAGTACTGTGTCTGTGTGGTATAAGCGTACAATAGGCCAGCTAGGCGTGTACTTGGAAAAGGGTAGTAATGTATGGTTTGGTGCAGATGCCGGATTTTTGAACCCTCGTTGCGGGCTGCACATACCATTCAATGTGTCATGTATGCAGTCAAATGTATAGGCCATGTGCGTTCACAGCACGCGCCTATGCTTGTGAATACAACATGTGCTGCTTAGTACTGTTCACATGTCATGTTTAATCTTGCTATGTACGCATGGTTCAACACAACCGATGACAGTATGAACGAAATATACGTACAGAAGCTATATAGTGCTTTCGAACTCGCTCATACAAAACCTTACAAAGGCTGATTTCCCCTCGTTCAATCAACCCCACTTCCACCTGCCCAGCCAAATGTCAACCTTTTTTTAATCATACCTACCTCATGCCTACCTACCCTATACACAGCTTTTCCGGACTATTCGGCACCAGGTTCTTTGTACCAGAGGAACGCCAAGCTGAATTGGTACGTGTTCTTCACCGGTCCCCACACAAGGAAACAAGTGGAGCTCCAGACAGACGGCATGATGATCTGCGGGTCCTCTGTGAGGGTCAGCATTGTATGTTATTGTTCTCGTGTACCGTTCCTGTGGTATTTTCTGGTAGGGGTAGGGCTAACCCTAAACCCCATAGCAACCCTATAGATCGGGGCTCCGTATATGGTGGGCGCTAAGTATGCTCGTGATGATACGTTGTTGGTCGTTTAGTGATATGGCCTGGTGGGTTTGATGTGCAGTTGACATTTGTCGGGTGCTGGATATCGAACATTCTCGTACCACAACCTGCTTGCTCGTTAATCGCACGCCTATGGTACTTCTCCCGTAATAGATGAACCTTAGTTTGTAAGTGAAATTTTCTCACTCGAAACCAAGTCGGAGATGGTGCACTATTTGGTAAATCACGTTTGATAGGAATTCGTTAGCAGTACTAGAAATCTGCAATAACCATAACACGCATGCACAGTCGCTATAGTGTGCATTGTCGCCGTATAAACGTTCCTACATTTGACTATGACCTGTTTGTATTGTTCACCTCTCGACTTGAGGACAAATTAAACTCGCGGTATAGTAGCACACAAATATATCAATGGACTGAAGACTCGCTATTCATAGCAATTGAGGTGCACTTGTCTGCAGCTCATGATCGCACTCATATTAGTCACTCGCTTTTAATAACTATGACCATACGTACGCTCGCATACACAGAAAAATTCGAGATTTCAACCGCCCACATACTGGTCCAACTATTTGCCCGGGAATCTGAGCGAGCCCTACGACGGTCGATGTGCCGTGTTTTTCAATTTGCCACAAAATACAACCGACAGCGCTATACTGAACTTTTTGAAGCCGCTCACAGTGGAGCGCATCGTGCACGAGAATCCCGGCTCACAAAGGTACATCACGCACAAATTAATTTAATTCGTTTGAGTATGTATCCTAATACGGATGGCCTGCTTTAAATGATAATTGGGCTGAAGCATTTCTCAAATTGGGCTGAAGCAGTCTAAATTTGTAGCAAATACCTACCCAAATGCTTTGAACGTGTCCCAGTGTACCTGTTGCATACCGCACTGAGGCAAGACTAGTTAACAATTTTTGTTTATGGTCAACGATGAATTTTCACGATGCTTACACCCGCAATGGAGTCCAGTCGCATATATACGTGTCTTTGTGCACGTACAATGGGCACTGATTTTATATCGCTAGTATGTCATACGTGATGTATTTGCGTATCATACACGTGATGTCCTCGCATATACTCCATGTTTCAAGCATTGTTTTCGAAACACTGTGCCACTCGAGATTTGCATTGGCTTGACCTTATGATTGCCAGTTTTCAATCTGATTTGATGATTGAGTGCATTCTTCTAGAGTGAGACTTTCTGATTCGAGTGTTTCAATCTGATCCATTATTGTTGGATGGGTCTGACGCCTTATTGTGATGCAACAAGGTAGAATTACGAAGAATCTGTTCCACGCTGCTATGAAGAGGGGTTGTTTTGGAGACGATATGAGGGGGTTTGCTAAATTTCTCTCTGGTTCAAGAGCCTAATATGTATTTTGGTATATTTCTCAATGCCATATCATGAGTTCTTTGTGTACTTCCGAATACTTCGCACAGATACACTCTCCGAGGTCACAGTTGGTCATTCATTAACACTGCAACTTGATTTTTTAACCTTCTATTTGTGAAGCAATACAACCGCGCTTCTGGTGTTCGACTCCGCTGAGACAGCTAATGCCGCGTATGTGCACTTCCACGGTCGTTCTATTGAGACTGAGATGGATGCTGATGGTGAATCTAGTAAGTCTGTGGATCAGGAGCCTGTAGAGATCAGGGTTTTACACGGCTATCGACCTTGGAGGAGTGCCTTTCTCATTGCTTAGTGAAATGAGCTGTGTTCTTCATCAAGCCTCGAGCGCTACATACCCTGTACATAAATGCACCTCACTACTGATATACTTGGAGATGGTCCGCGTTCATTCAACTTCAGCAAAGTTATGTTGACTAGTATGTCACCACTCGATCCCTTTCATCCTGCTGGCGTTGCATTAGTGGTACTACCGTGTGTTGCACTTCGAGGTAGGACAGTTTCCGAAAATTGTGCAAGATTTTTGCAAACTGTTTTCCATTGTCCTGGGATATGTGTAGTTGATATCTATATAGATGCCATCGATTGGCTTGTACGATGCCAGACAAGATATGTTCTCATTCAATGTTCGAGATCTGTAATTACGGGTATCGTATTCTCAGTGCAGCTTCCAATCTGTGTACTGGCAAGATAACAGACGCTGAACTTGATTTGTGAAAGACTTTTCGTTCGCATTTCAGTGGGGCGCCTTCACAATATTTTTAGTAATCAAGCTTTGATCCGAAGTTGTATACACTCGATTTCGGAGCTACGCAAACAAGGGACTGAGAGAACTTCTGAGACCGAAGGAATCAGACGGAATCACCTTAACACTTCCTCATCAGATTTTGTCCTGGATATGTCTAGTCCAGCATTTGACTTCACTTCGACTAGATTATCCCATAAGCTTTCAAATATGTCGATGTGTATTGTTTGAAATATCTTCAACCTGTTATTCCAAATCTCGTCTATCGTCTTGGATGCAGTAGTGAGGCAGAAAATATATCAAATAACAAATCGTGTTCAAACCGAAGTTACAGATGGGATGTGCATCAGAAACTGATATGACTGATACATTCTGTCTTGGTAGAAGCTACCGAGGTCTAATTTTGATGACTAGTAGATATGCTTGAAGTTGACAGGAGAAAGAAAAGGAAACTAATCTATCAGCAGAGAATTTAAAAATAAAAAGTAGCAAGACAATATCTTACGAAGCGCATTGTTGACAGTGTTGATTAGGGCGTCTCGGCGCAGTGGCAGAAGGAGTAGTGGACGATCTATCGGCCAAGCCAAGTTTTTTTTCTTAAACACCAACGACGGGGCCCAGTGGATTTTCGAAATCCCCATCGATGGTCCGCGTGAAAAGAGACTGCCAACTCTCCAAATCAGAAGCAATCCCGAAACACGATCTCTGTGATAAAGTATTTCTATAGTTCTACATGGAACCCCTGAATGAGAGATAGCGAACCATTATCCGCAATATGACCTTTATCCGCAATAAGCGCTACATAATTGACATGGTTGATGTAGTCTTGCACTTTTCTGGGGCGCAATATTTGGTGTTATAGGACTAGACGGTTCCATAATAAACAAAAAAATGTCAGCCCAAATCCGGCTACAGCTACCGCACACTATAGTTTTTGACTTTTTTATATAAAAAAGCTTTCAAATACATTACGCGGCAATGCTTAGGAAAAATATCATGAGGTAGATGCATTCTGTCGAAGCTTGGAGTACAGCTAGCGTGCATTCTTGCACTACACACTGATTTCTATAAACATTTTTTTGCTGCTTGTTTTAGACGTAATTCGTGAAGGCTGATCAACGTTGTATTTTCTTCACTTTAAAATGTGAAATGAGGTAAATAAGCCCGTGACATAAGCCCGTGACAATGCTGACGGAAACAATAATTAAAAATGTCTTGCGTCGATGTGTACGCATGAGCTTAAACAAAAATACTATTTGTGCAATCACACTCCAAGCGGGCTTCTAGCGATATATACTAAAAATACATCTGCCGTAGACTGTTTTGGTATATTTCAGTTTCATCACTTTGTCCGAACCTGTTTCCAAAGCTTCTCGTTCTTCTATGTGACCCAAATGGCGAAAATGATGGCCTCAATAACACCCAGACTAAGACAATCAGTGCCAAAAATAGCGGTCAAATACCGCAAGTGATACCTTAACCTACCCAGTGCGGATCGGAGTTCGTTGGTGACTTCGATACTGCGCATCCGGCGCTTTATTTGACAGAGCATGAGTGGAAATAATATACTGGATCGAGAAGTGTAGCTTAGAGTGGCGTAGGATCCGTTAAGTTCAATAAATCACGATAGGAGCGGTACACCAGTGATGCGTATTTTACAGTCCAACAGGCTGCTAACATCCACGACTGATAGCACCGTAATTGAACTGTGCGTCAACTAACATACTGAATATAAAAAGGAAGGGGACAAATGTTTAGTATGCCCGATGAAGATGCCAAAGACAATTTTCGCGTAAGGACGTGCCAGCATGTTTAAGAAGGTGGGGATTCAGGACTTCGTCGATCCTAACTAAATTTAGGGCAGGCGGATCCATTTCAGAATTACCTCTTACCGGTTAGAATACGTCGCCGTCGTCGTCATTCACGCGGAATTCTCTGAGGCAATCAAAAAGATTGACTACCTCCTCGCTCCAAACATTGGCGAGTGGCTTACGAACTTCGACAGTGATTGTACAACCTGGCAATAAATGCTTAGTGAGAAAACTGAGTCTCGCGCGCGATATTTATTTGAATGTACTGCCAGGGAACAACTACAATTATTAAGGTGGCAAGAATTGTACATAAAATGCGTCTACTTCGGTCCGTTGTTCTGCGTGCACCACCAATAGTTCGACGTTGGTCCGTGCCGTACGAGTCAAATGCATATACGCGTTTGCAAAAAAAAAAAACTCTCACTCCAGGCTCGAGAAACTGCCGCCAATTGGCCCTGACCTCCTTCAGCAATTACAGGAGTGCCACGACTTCCACAGTATCTGGACCCTCCACGAACACCTTGGATCTTTTCTCCAGCATGTTGAAGAACCACCGTACCCTCACCCGTCCCTGACACATCAACTGATGTTCCCCATACCCCGGCTAATCACGCTGTTGAAGTACTACTTCCAAATATCGGTTCAAACCAAATCATCGCGCTTGTTGGTTCCGACTATGATACTTCCGATCCAGGCCACCCAACACATACCGAATTCATCCGTGGTCTGGTGCGGCATTGGCTTACCCCCATCCTCGCTTCTCGACCGGATTATGACAGATAACCTGGTCCTTCTCGGTATTTCGTACTCTGCACTAACCCTTTCCGCGGCACTACACGGCGCAGACCCGATCCGTACCACAGAGGTGGGTACTCTACTTAGTAGGTCAGCAAGCAAATATATGGAACATTCGATAGTAACAGTGTTTTGTCAACACCGGCCCGAATTGACTCAGCACATATCTTCCATTGTCGACTCACTGGGCCCAAGCTTCAAACGGGAATTTACTGACCACTTCCTCCCATCAATCTTTCCTGAACCACTACAGCGACTATGAGAGCCATACCATATGTTCATTCCCTACAGGTCTATTTTTTTTTGTCGCATTCCCTGGTGCTAGCATTTTTAGCCGTACGCGCACCGGCGACCACACCACCCTTTTACTTCAAATCGGCCAAATATTTCAAGACCCCCTCCTGGACTCAGTCAGACACCAGGTGCTAGACTTAATGCCCACAACTAGCGCGAACTATGGCAACTGTAACGACAATATGGACGATATCGAAGTGGATATGTATTATAGCGTTCAGCGGCTGCCACGTCAATATAGACGATATCGAAGCGGATATGTATTGTAGCGTTCGGCGGCTGCCACGACAATATGGACGATATCGAAGTGGATATGCGAAGTAGCGTACGGCTGTAAGGCTGCGGCAACGACAATATGGACGATATCGAATTGGATATTCGATATAGCGTACAGTTGTATGGCTGCGGCAACGACAATATGGACGAGATCGAA